GGAGGACGTCAACGCACGATCAGGGGCGGAGGACGTCAACGCACGATCAGGGGTGGAGGACGTCAACGCACGATCAGGAGAGGACGTCAACGCACGATCAGGGGAGGACGTCAACGCACGATCAGGGGCGGAGGACGTCAACGCACGATCAGGGGAGGACGTCAACGCACGATCAGCCGAGCATGAGACACCATGTTAAATTTGTAAAAAGACCTCCTTCAAAAATAAGCCTACCTACCTACCCAAACTTTTCAGCCTGGGTTGGATGAGAGCAAACAAAGATTTTTTCAATTGTGCCACGATCAGAGACGGAGGAGCAAAACGCAGGAGCGGTGGCTAGAGAGGCAAGGAGACACACGTTGGCAGCACACGGATCAGCGACGGCTCGAAAACGACGATGACGAGGCGGGACGAACAAGAGAGCATGTTAACGGGCAATGACACATGAATGGGGGTGGGATGGAGTGCAGTGTGGACAACGCGCGACCATCGATGGGTGACGATGAACCGAGGGGGCGTGGTCCCACGTGGTCAGTTACAGAATAAAACCACGGGAGCGATGGCGAGAGGGAAACGAACGCACGTTGGCAAGATTCCAGTGAGGGATCGGCGGAAACCTGCAACGATGAGGGAAGAGAAAATGTCGGCTGTCAATACGTAATTAACGCTGGCTAAACAACATGACAATATGATCGAAAGAGAGTGTGCCCTAATCGGCGATGACAAGCGAATGAGGCACAATATAAGGTCTGGTGTGAGCGTGCGATATGCAATTATTCGTGAGTGAGAGTGGATAGTCGCAGGTTACTGCCATTGTTGGTGTTGTCAGCGTTGACTTCACAAGTGGATTCACAATGGTGCGCTTATGTGTGTGAATGCATAAATTAGTGAGTGTGCATGTGCGCATGCGTGCGCATGCGTGTACGCATTTATCACACTGCGTGTGGGTATTAGGTGGGTGTATGTGTTCGAATTAACTGGGTGTATGTGTATGTCCACGCATGCTGAGTGTGATATAGATAAAATGATGGTGTCTCTATCTATCAGGATGCATTGCTCGAGTGCCTCCCTACCTTAGACAGCTGTTCACCGAACTCATCCAGCTTCTGTTGCAGTGGGGTCCTGTCAGTCTCAGTCTCAGCCATCTCTGTCCTAATTTTACCTGTGCCACACACATACAAAACACACGACGATCAGTCGCCCATCCGCACTACTCAATCTTTTACAACTGCCTACATATACCATCCTACCCAACTTGGATGATCCCATTCATCATTCATTGTACAATCACCGCCAATTTAAGCTTCAAAGTAGCCCATGCAGTTCGTGTACCCGTGGCGTATTCATAGATTCATATACTGAATAGGCCCAGACCCTCTCCCCACATTAGCTGTACCCGTGCCCGTGAAACCCTGGTCTCCGTAGCTCCCGTGATTGCGAAACCCTGGTCTTAGCTGTACCCGTGCCCGTGAAACCCTGGTCTCCGTAGCTCTCGTGATTGCGAAACCCTGGTTTTAGCATGTCCCGACGCTTGAGATAACGAGGGTTTGACGTGTGAGCGCGAAACTCATTACGAAATGCAAATGACGCGACTCCCCAGGGAGAACGCGTCCAGCGAATTTCCTTCGAATTTCCGAAATCCTCGAGACAAAAAGAAACGAATAATTACTCGCCATTGATCGGCAATATGTCAATTCCGCTCGACAAATTATACAACACCCCTGATAGCCTTCTCCCACGTACGCACACCTTCACAAATCTACCAGCAAAGGACATCACGTTGTCCCACCCACCCCTCCATCCACCCACCCACCCAGAGAAAGCCTACCACCCCCGCCCACTCACACACCACCAGCAGGCAGCCCTCCCAAATCTACCAGCATACATTAGCTACCACACCCACCCAGAGAAACCCTACCAAACCCGCCCACTCATGGACCACGCCTGCCTACAGATGCCCACCTACACTGAACCCCCGTGTGCTTGTATCAGCGTTACCTTGGAGACAGACATCTGTTACTAAGTGTATCGGCGTTACATTGGAGACAGACATTTGTTACTGAGTGTATCGGCGTTACCTTGGAGACAGACATCTGGTTGGTGGTCAGGGTTCCGGTTTTGTCAGAGCAGATGACAGAGGTGCAGCCGAGCGTCTCTACAGATGGCAACGACCTGACGATGGCGTTCTTCTTCGCCATACGCCTGGTTCCTGCAAGCCAGCGAGAGAGCAATCGATGCACCAGCGAATCAATTAAGCCTAGTGCAGACTTGCAAATTTTGGTTGCTCGTCGCTGCAACCTGCAACCGCATGCGATTGGTCGCACGCTTCACCGTGTGTGCACGTGCAAGCGATTTCGAAACGATTTCGGAGCAATTGGGAGCGACGAGTTGCTGAAAATCAAACCAGTTTGATTTCTTGCAACTCCGTTGCAAGTGACCAGAATCGCTACGAGTTGCAGTTGCACGTTCCCGCAGACATAGCGATTTCACAGCAATTTCGACTGCGATTCTAGAATCGCAGCCGAGTTGCATGAAAAAGTCGGAAGTCTACGCTACGCATTAGGAACCGACACGACGAAGCGACGAATGAACACATCGAGCGACAGCGGCGGAAAATGTAAACGCGAGAGCGGGCGCGCGTCTTGAGATAGCATCGAGTGATGTTTAGTGTCGTGATCCCGCGTCGCCGTGCGTTAACATACTGTCAGGCTGACAGAGAGAGCAAACCAGTGAAAAAAATACACGGGGGCTCGGGGCAATTTAGCCCCCGAAATGCCAAAATGCCAAAAAGAGCCCCCGGAAATTTGCATAGAGTTCAATGCAAACCAAATTTTAGAGTGCTATTTTCATGCACGCGTGCTTGAAAAGTAGCCCCCTGAAAAATAAATTTTAATTTCATTCATAATAAATTTTTTCCCTGGAGCGAACTTACATGAATTAGCGCAGCGCGACGATGCGCGCACGCGGGAAGGATGCATGCGTCCCAGCTGTGCAGTTCTCGACCGTTTACGGAACACGAGAGCTCAAACAACGACTGATCAATCGACGAAGAAATCAATAAATCAATCACTCCTCGGGAGTGCTTTCCGAGCGCAGCGCAGGCGACACCGGTCTATTTCTACGAGACTTCACCCGAGCGCGAAATCTCAAAACGGACGGATCAATATCCATCGACGATCAATTCGATCGGCGAACTCGCGCGAACTTACCGAGAGCAAGGCAGGTGGTGATGACGGCTGGGAGGCCTTCGGGGATGGCGGCGACGGCCAGGGCGACGGCGATCTTGAAGTAATAGATGGCGCCCTTCACCCAGGAGCCGCCGTGCACGGGGTCGTTGAAGTGTCCGATGTTGATGGCCCAGACGGCGACGCAGATCACAGAGATAACCTGCAGGAGAGAATGTCAACGCACGATCAGGGGCGGAGGACGTCAACGCACGATCAGGGGCG